TAACAAATACATTATACACAACACAGCAAGATGTTTTGTTTATTTCAAAATTCAGTCATAACACTGTAAATGTTGATCAGTACCTCAAACTGTGCTTTAGAGCACAGCCATTGGAACTTACAAGCCATTGATTGCTGTTGTATTACTACTGAAATATCTTCATGAATTAGGCCGTGCTTCATGTAAATGAGGTACTGGTAGGCTGGCGCTTAATTTCACGCACTTGAGATGATCTTTTTTACACTAAAAATCATCTCCGCTTGTTTCAATGGCATATGAAAGTTCATGATTCAGATAGAGTAGTTTGTACATCATTAAAGACGGCCAAATCTGTGATCTTACGCAGCTTTGATGAATAAGAGCCAATGAGATTGATCACGATGAATTATTTTAATCACTTGGCAGTTCTAATGTCTTGTCAACAGAAAGTGACCAGTGATGAAGAGTGGACCTCATAAAGTGGATAGTGAGTGTATATTGCTGGAAGAGATATTAGGTATTGCACCCAGGTGATTTAACTTCACCAGACGTCAGCTGGAAGCTGACACCGCAGATCGTTTATTGGATTCTCAGAGTCTATATGGTCATGTTTACCTTATAAAGATGAGGTTCGGTTTGATTTTGAGGCTTGTCTGGGGATCAGGGTGCATGCAGAGGTCCAAAAGCTCAGAAGCAAATAACAGAAGTAAAGCTTGCTCAGATGAATAGCCTGTAACACCCACAGCCCTGCAGGCAAATCATGCTGAGTTGCACTCAACCGTTCCGCTCCGCTCCTGCAGCGAGTGCGTCTGTACCAATGAGCATCAGCTCCAAACACACACTCTGACCTCTCTAACGTCCCCTGCCACATTCAGACCTACACACAGTACTGTCGGGAGGAGGGAGGGGGGTGGTGTCACTGGCATTTATTAGGCTTTGTTTTTCTGTCTCAGGAGTTTTCTGCATCCTGTGTGAGTGACAGCCACAGATATTTCCTTATTCACTCCTTAATTTCCACTGAGAGCAAACAATCTTTAAGAAAACAAACTCAATTTGAAGTTTCAGACGAGGCATTTTTAAAATCCACAGAGAATTCAGCCATTCCAGACTAATAGTGCATGCTAAAGGGAATCATATTAAATAATAAATAATAAAAGGATAATCATCTAATCATATTTTGAGTTTCAATACCTGAGAAGCCAATTACTCACAAAATGTGTTAAATGTTACAATTAAGATGAAAATTACTGAGTTATTAAAATGCTTTGCCTCAGTGAGGTTTTAATCATTAGTAGCACAACTGCTGACAGAGAAGTTTGTGATGAATAATACAAGGTAGCTGTTGTAAAGCATATGTTGTATGCTGTAGAATGTCAGGACACTAGCTGTCATAAAAATAAAAAAAAAGTTGTGTCTCCTAAATGGTTATTTTGGACAATTCATGTTGGTTCGTTGGTTCATGTAGAGAACATCTGGCATTTTTTTCCTGGCCAGTGAGTAAAACTGGAAAAAAAGAACAGAGAACATGGCTCTGTATATTTTAGTGCACAATCACTCTTTATTTAACATACTGCACTCTCAGAAATTAAGGTAGTAAACTGTCACTGGGGTGGTGCCCTCAAAGGTAGTCAGGGAACATAACTGTACCATAATCCAATGAAATTATATTATATATAAGTTGTATTGACTCCACACACCCCGTCTCGTCTCCAGGCTTTTTATTTTTATTGATCTGTTTTAAAACATTAGGTTATGAAAAGGTACAAATATGTACTTTTCTATTGGGAATAACTTATTTAAGGTACACAATTGGACCTTAAAACCACTGTTGTACCTTTGAGGGTATATTTACATTGTTTGTACCTTGATGGCCAAAAAATGTACCGGCACAGAACCTTCTAATAGTGTGAAAAAAAAGGAACAAAACACGAAAGTGGACACTTACCACGTTTTATGTTTTGTTTTTTTTCCCAGTATGTTAAATTTAGTAAATAATTTTGCAGTAAAATTTATAGACAAAGCCATATTTAAGTTCATCAGACTTTCTGACTTATAAAGCATAAACAATAAAACATGTAATTTGCCCAAACCCAGACTGTAGTGTACAGTACTAAGGAAGTGAGACCCTTCATTTATTTAAGATCAAGGCAAAGGGCCATTTCATTCATTTTTCAGTGTCAAACAGCTGAAAACACATATTTAAAAGAAACGTTTACAAATGCTTCAACAACTAAATATAATTTCCTTTTTTTGGTATTTAGTGCACCCCACTCTTTGCCTTTATTACAGCTTACATTCTTTTTAGGAGACCTGCTTTCAGTTTTTCAAAGAAATCTGCAGCGATATTTTCCACACCTCCAAAGTTCAGTCTTAGGCCCAATCCCATTTCACCCCTTGCCCCTACCACTTAGCCCTTAGCCCTCCATTTTGCACATTCATGCCTAGGGGCAGGGTGTCCCGATTCTTGTTGAGATTAAAGGGTGGGGGTAAGTGTTGGGGCTACATGGCCCTCCAAATGGAGGTTTTTCAGAGGCACATGCCAAACAGAGTGTTAGAAGACAAAAAGAAAAAACAGGCAAGATGGCTGCACAAGCGACCAAACAAACCTTCAAATGTGAGTATTTTTTCAGTTAGTAACAAGCGTAAAAAATCACTAATGGTATGCTAATGTCTCGGTAGCTAGCTAAATTTCCCTTCCCGCCTTAAATAGCCCAGCAGTTCTGATGTCTGAAGTGCCACAGTGTAACTGCTGCTCCATTTAAGGTGAAACAGGAAAATCCGAATGAGAAGCTGGCAAATAGCTGACATCAGCTTCATGTCACCAAAGATTTAGGGGTGGGCAATAATAAATCACTGTCACGTCCCCCTCTTTAAAAGAATATGATGCCCTAAAGTGAGGTTGCTGAACTTTACTCTCCTCTGCTATCACTGCAGACCAGCAGGGTCACCTACAGAGCACCGCTAGTAGCCTGTTAATGAAGTAAGGTTCTTTTTATTTGAGGGTCCCAATTCATAGGGCAAGATTTCAACCACTATCCATTGTAACTCAGTTCCAAGGGGCAAAGTGACACTCGAAAACAAAGGGTAGGGATAAAAATAAGAAATGGGATTGGGCCTTAGAAGCTGGTTGCATTTTCTGCTTCTCATCATTCAAGTAATCCCAAACACATTCAATGATGTTGAGCGTGGCCAGTCCATTGCTCTTTTTTTATATTTCCTTTTCTCAGTCACGGCCTCTTGACAGCTACACATCCTTTCAGACTCATAGTGTTGACTTCTCACAGTGGAAGGATGAACAGAAAGACCTGTGGATTCTTTTCAGATCTGAAGTAAGAGTGGAGCTTGATTTTCTCCTCTCTCTCAAAGATGAAAGCTTTAAGTACTGGTTATCAGATGGTGACAGTTGTGGTGGTCAAGCAGGTTTTACACAGTTCTCCTGTTTTTTTAACTTTTTTTTTTCCCCCTGTCTTGTGCAAATGGATTATCTTGTATCTATTATCTAACATCTCATCAGAAATCACCTCCTGACAATGAATAAATGTATATAATTTATAAACTATAAATAAATTAAATAATAATATAATTTATTTATAATTTACAAATTATAAATAAATTATATAATTTATAAATTATAATAAATAGTAGGGGTGGGAATCTCTAGGCACCTCAAATTCGATTACGATTCAGAGGGTTACGATTATAAAACGATTATCGATCTTTTTTCTATACAGGATTTCTATTTTCTCACTGTGTGAGCTCAAGTTTCAAGTTCAAGTTTCGAGTTTATTTGTCATTTGCACAACATGTCAGGACATTTATGCATTGAAATGCTTGTGGTGATGCTCAGATAATCACTCTACAGAAAGTAAATAAGTAAAAATAAAAATACAAGAAAAACTAACTGAAATATATTAAATATACACAAAATACACACAAAATATACAAAGAATGTAGAGACAATATACATTTTAAAGTGACTAAGTGACTCAGCATAGCGCAAAAGCCCTGTTTTGCAACGACTGAGAACCGGCATGCAGACTGTAGGTCACATAGCAGCGATGCGTTATTCACATTTATAAGCAGCGCAGTTGGTTTCCTGGTACGTTAAATCTGCAACAAGAGACTGTCAAACACTAAAAAGTGGCGAAGCTGAAGTCAGCTTCTCTTTCGGATTCTCCCGTTCCACCTTAAATGGTGCTGCATTTACATTCGGCGCCTCAGTTAGAATTTAAGGTGGAACGGGTAAATTCGAACAAGAAGCTGGAGAATAAGAAGCGACTTGAGCCTCGTAAAACAGTCGAACATTGAGAGGCTTTTAACAAGAAACTGATCTACTTCTGAGGAAATTTTTTCTGGCGGAGATGGAAGGAAAGCGGCTGTAGTTAAAGCTTAAAGCAGAGCGAAGTAAATCTGTGTTTTCGTTTATATTGTTTAGCCTCTACTAGAACATCAGCACACACTGACACATACTGGACATTAAATGTTGTGGCTCCCAATATGATTTGATTTTTGTTGAAAGTCAAAATGGCTCTTCTTATCATTTGTGTTGTGACTCCTGACCTAACCTGGCTTTTAATGCAGAGGGTGCCAGTCGGATTTCTCACTCATCCAGTAGTGTTTTTGTTATGTGCTGCCACAGACTGTCCGGGCGCTGTGCTTACCCACTTCCAAGTTCCGCCTTTTGCGTTCCGTCAACAATACGTTATAATTTAAATGTTTCGAAAATTGATTATTGACATTTGTGAATCGATTCAGAATCGTTCACGTCCGCATCGCGATGCATCTAAGAATCGATTCCTGCATCCCTAATAAATAGTCTCTGGCCTTTCCACAGTACTGCATATTGCATGTATTGTAAGGTAACTCAGGCTTTGAACTGAAGCCTTCACATGCTAATACAGCAAAGTCATGACACCTGGACACCACTCAAGCTCTGGTGTGAGGGGGTGTTTGTCACCATGGAGACAGACCTGGGGAGATCTAGACCTGAAGCGACCCTCTGTCCAACACACACAGCGTACCTGTCGAGAGCAGAGCTGAGCTCCTCCAGCCTATGACTTTCACTGGTGTTGCTGAGTTTGGCCAGAGCGTCGATTCTCTTCAAAATGATCTCCAGCATGTCACTGATCTTCCTCAGAACTCCACGAGACTCCAGCCCACCCAGTACTGTTTCACACACACACACACACAGAGGGAGAGAGGGAGAGAGAGAGCATGAGAACAAATAGAAAAGATCAACAAGGATACTTACTTGCCTAAAATGAGTAACTAGTAAATTTAAATTGATAATAGTTTGATAATAGAACAGTACAGTATAAATGCATTACTTTAACCTACATGCTGTAGTCATTTAGTATGTTTATTTTATACAAATTTTATACAAATGGCTTTATATATGCCAGCTTTTTTCAGTTTCCTAAATTTGCCCAACGATTTGATTTTGGTGCATCACTAGGTTAGTAAGTTGTTTTTAAGAGAAAAAGATTTATGGCATTGTATTAATATTTTATACCAAGTATTTTTATAATTTTTAAAAACAAGCAGTTTTGATCATGTCTGTTGGTCCATTCATCATAAAATGTTCACACATTGTGAAGGACTGCCGATGCTTTGAAATGGTTTTTAAAAAGCCGTAACTAAGGGTAACTGGCTGGCTCTCTGTTTCTCAGGGATCCACTGCAATAGCTCCATTTTAACAAGAGCAGTTAGACTCAATCGTTCAATCAAAACAATCCCTGTGCAAACCTTTGATAGTCCCTCTGTCTCTCAAGCATTAAACACATCTACTTCATCTCTCATTACCAAGAAGCAGCATTCAAAAGCCAAGACCTAAACAGCACGAGCTTACAGGAAGCCAAATTAGGCAGCAGTCTGGACTTTTCAAATGCTCTCACAGCACTAATTTACTGAGGACTGAGGAGCTGTATGGCAAAGCGGAGAGAAGAGGATGTTTCACCTGACCAATTAAACAGAACCCAGGCTCAGCTCATGGGTCACCAGGGCTTTCAGAGCACCACCATCATAAATCATCTGCTTGTACGTTTATGCTTTTACATTTACAGAGGGGAAAAGGCTTGGGTCTAATGATGCTACTTTATGAGCAAGAAGGGCCATTGTTGTAGACCTGACCATTAAACTGGAGTGAAAAAAACTTTCATTGCAACTTCTTTCAAATATTTCAGAAACTTTTTTTTCAAGATGAGCCTTGATCTGTGTTGGTAAAAAATCTTGGGTTTGAATGGGAATATATGAACATGCAATTTTCTAGGCATGCTGTGATCCACCTGCTAATACATTGTTTGGTAGACACTGTTGTGAGGTTGAACAATCTTTGCAGAACCTAATAAGACATTGTAACAATGCAGCATTGTCATAGTGACCAAAATGGATGGACCAAATCAAAATGCTTGTTAACATAATAGTTGGCTATACTTCAGAGTGCATACTGTGGTATCCAGTCAGCATGGAAGCAGCTCAATTTACGGCACAATTTACAACAAATAGGAACATAATGGAGAAAACTTTGGCAGTAATGGTAAAATCTTCGTGTTTGAGGCTGTAATGTTATATGTGCCCAAGTATATAATGGATTTTACCAGTTTCAGGCATTTAAAAGCAGCTAGAGATATAAGTAGGGATAATACCTCTGGGATCCACTTTGTACTAGAAAAACAACATGTGTTGTGTTTTGGATGCTGGTATCCTGGTCAACCAGCATGACTGCACTGAGTGACCAGCTAAACCAGCATCAGACCAGCATAAACCAGCTTAGACCAGTATAGAATTCATAGTGGTCTGTGTTGATGTTGTCAGCTGGGCTGTCTTTGCTAACACAGCTAAGCTAATGATAACTTTACTCTTCCAGATGAAGATAAAGTTGACAAATGCTGTTACATTAAGTGAACCAGAATGTAAACTAGGACCGTATGTTGATGTGTTAGATGGTATTTTTATTCAAATTATTACTTTGTAGAGAGTTTGACATGAGCTAAGTAAGAAGCTAACACTATTAGCATTATGTAAAAGGCCACAAGATGAGTGTTTTTGCTCAGATTTTCACACTTGACAGAGAAAAAATGAGCTTTATTGGGTTCTACACCTGATTCTGTGTAAATGTAGCTGTTTTGAGTATTTCAGCTCAGTGCAGTATATTGATTCATATCAGCCAATAAGTTCAGCTAACTAACAAGCAAGGTAGCTAATGACTATTTAGAGTGAGATAAAATGACCAAAAAGACTAATTAATTAATTAAATAATTCACATGAGCTATTAACAGTTAATAATCTTAATAATCATGGTAAGAGTTATGTCTCTCAAGCAAGTGGAAAATGAATTAAAACTACAAGTGAAGGTTCAGTTGGTTCATGTTTGGGTCAGTTGTTGTTTTTGAGTGTGTAGTTGGAAAATTGAATGCTTCTTCATTACACCTTGCAATGATATATATGGCCAGTGCATGTTCATGATTATACAACATACATATCGCTGTTGTCAGAACAAAACCTTGTATCTCCATTTTTGTCATTTTTCAGCTTTTGGCATAATCTGAAAGTATTTGTTGTGTAAAATACATGATGAATGGACCAAAAGAAATGGCCCAAAATGACTTGGAAAAAAGTCTGGTTCCACTGACTTACATTAAAAGTAAAGTATGTTTTTTTCCTTCTCCTGTAAAGTTACCATTTTGGAGATACAAGATTTTGTTCTAACAGCAGCAATATAGTTAAATAACTCTCAGGACTAAAATACTCATTCCAGAATCCTCATGTATCAGTGCAATGCTACCAGCATTATCTACCCACAAGTTCTTTGCTGTTGTGACATAATGCAGATTTGTCCTATTGGCTGAACCGTTTAGTTTTATGAAACAGTGTTGAAAATATATGAATCTGTAAATGAAGTCAGACACTTTCTCATCACCATCTGTCAGGCCTGGCACCAGGGTGTCTTTTGGTTAAGCAATGCCTCACAATCAAATCTTCATGCCCCACTAAACCCACAACTTCATGCATGCTTCTGTAGTAGCAGGCTGCAAAAACCAAGTGAAACTAACTCTTTATAAAAAGTTATGAATTAATAGAAGGGCTTGCATTGGAATAAAGAATTATAAATGGATATACACATAAATTCATTATTATAGAAACAGCTCAGTAAAAAGGTCAGCATGTACAGTGTATAAGTCTGACTACACACTTACAAACTCACATGTGATATGAATTGAAAGTTTAGAATATAGACTAACTCGAGTTTTCTTAGTTCTCTTAGTTTGTCAGAAGATAATCATGCAACAGCGCTGAGTTTCTAGGTGTTCAGTGCCCATTATGAATGAATCCATCTAACGACAGTGCCAACTGCCTAAATCAAGCACAGATTTAATGATTTGATTGTGCATTGCTTGAGTATAAGTATGTGTGTGCATTACTGATAGTTAAAAGAAATAAAAAAAAAACAAAAATATAATGTTTTTAAATGATACTGGGTCTCGGGTCATCAGAGACAAAATCTGGCGAAATGGCTAAGACCAAGACAAGTCTGAGTACAAATGCTATCAAGTCTGAGTCAACTGAAATAATGCCAGACTACAGCACTATGGATAAGTCAAACAACTGAACCTCACTGAAAGGATAGATTTCTCTCATATGTTCTGCATAAGATCAAGCTGATAAACAACAAAAACATTTTGATAGCCTTTTATGCTTGTCTGTATCAAGGGTGGCAATAATTCTGAAACGTAGTATAAAAACACAGTTGTATGCCAAATGTTGAGCACCTCTGGTCAAATAAACCCATTGTGTATTAAAATGTGCAGGAGTGTGTTCTCTGTAGAGGATATATTCACTTATTTTCACTTAGAAAATTAACAATACATGTAATTTGAATAGGGTGCCGAAACCTTTGCATACTGTATCTTAATAGACTCCTGCTGTGGCTGTTACTGAGACGTTAGATATTGAAACTGCCAAAAGTAATCAGTGTTTTTTTTGCTCCTTCAACTGAATAGGACAGAATTTTAGTGATCAAATGCTGAATAAGCTGCAAACTCAACAGCATGTAGTGTGTCAGTCATTGACTTTCTCAAGATTGAAAAGACCTTGTTCTTTGTATTTATTCCCTGTTTGACAGTGACCAGACAGCAGCTCCGATGTTTTCCCACTGAGGCATGGCGGCCAGCTTCACCTCACGCATTCCCTAATCAATCCCATTAAACAAGAGAAAACACGCGCTGTGAGCAAACACGCCTCTCCACATGGCCTGTTTATTCACCAAAGTCCAGGAGAAATTCATCAAAAAGGGTGAAGCTACCCCAGTCCCTACATTCAAAGACGATTTACACAAGTGTTTAGTCTGGAGAATAAACACGAGTAAGAATGCAGTTGGCGGCATTACATAGGGGAAACGCTCTGTATCAGGCTGCCAGTCCATCACAGGAATATATAAAATATGTAAATCTACAAGCAAACTATCACAGTGTATATACATGCCAAAGGGGGACCTGAGACCACTAGCAAAAGTGCTTCAATTTTGCATTCTTTTCTAATATATTGCAAAATGTTTCATTACAAATTATATTATCAGCATAACAGTTTGAAAATTAGAACCTTTAAAATATGTATATGAATTTTGGGATTTCTTAGTATTTGTCCCTCTTTTGCTTTAACGACAGTGTGCACTCAAGCTGGCATGGACAAAAGTTTCTTATGAGTAGATCAAATGCACCTGAGAGCTGTTTGAACCTTAAGGCCTTAACATGGTCAGTGTCACAAATTTGAGTAGTGACCTAGACTCTTCAATATTACTTCTTCATTTTAATTGTTATAATTTCTCTTCGTTTCAGTTTTTTAAAATTCATAAATGTTCTGGTGCTTATTTCCAGGATTAAATGAAAACAATCCCAGATTTTCAATGTGGTCTCAGACTCCACTGTATGTGCAAACATAAAAAAACACACCTATGTCCACCAGCAATTTGTCAGTCATTGCTTTCATTTTTTTTTATTCATGGATTTTGCTGATACACTTTTGTGTCCTTTTCCCTAGACCCAATTGTAAAACATATTAAATGCAACACTTTCGGAGAAAAAAAATCCCAGTCACACTGCTAAAGGCAAATAGTGCTCACAGCAGAAACTAATGTGGGAATTCTGTTGGTGGGTTTTGGGAAAAATCTT